TGTCATCCTACATTATATATGAGTTATTTGTCTCTTCTAAAGGGCGAGTGAATTCTTCTTTGCCTTGTTAATTAATAAAAAGAACAATCAAAAATTTTATTGTGATTCATGCTACTAGACAAATAAATGTTTTAATCTCTTGCGGTTTAAAGACTCTTTGAAGAGCGACAGGAGTGCTAACTTTAAGACATTATTAAAGAGAAACCTTAGTGATTTTTGCTAGGGTCTACCAAGTCTGCATTATCAGCAAAGGGAGACTGACTGGGAAGCGATGATGCCATCGATAAGAGACATGAGTTTTCGCCAAGTTAGAATGATTTGAGGGCTGGAAAACCTCTAATACAAAAAAGTATTTATTCTGCCAGTTACAACTTTCTACCACTTTATAACTAAACTGTTTGGCATTAGAGGCAGGGATGTTGTCTCAAATAGTCTTAGGGATGATTTTCATCTATTAGAGGAGTATAAAAGGGCTCTTTCTCCTGGAGCACATCAGGAAGGACTGAATGAGCTGAGTGCTTCTCATATTTTAATGTGCTGATGAATCACCTAGGGGAATGTTGTTGGTCTGGGGTGGTGCTTGAGAATTTGCATTTCTAGCAAGCTCTTTGGTGAAGGCTGAGCACAATTTGAGTATCGAGGAGCTAAAAGATGAATAAAGATAGAGAATAGGGGTGTGGCTATATAGTGAATATCTGTTTGTATGGCCTGTACAGCATCAATTCCTCTCTCTTCTGGCAGTAGTAGCCTGATGTAACTTTGGAGGAAACATTTCCTCTCTATGATTGGCTCACATAGTTCAGAGGAGGCCACTTCTCCCTTTACTTTTCTCCTACTCCAGCCATCTGTGATAGAGTTGAGTATGGGAGCCAAGTCTGGTCATCAGCATAAGTGGGCAGCTGATATACGTAGTTCAATGATATTCAGACTTGGATTTTGGTTAGTGCTATTGGGAAAGAGGCTTTTTTTTGTAGTTTATGTTCTGGTGTCCATCATGGAAGCGGTTGCCTGCCTGACAGTGAAGCTAACACAGAGGAAGTAGAACTAAAAGTTGGGAAAAGAAAGATTCCTGATGACATCTTGTGAGTGCCTGGATCCAGCCATGCCTGAGGCAGATGGACCTGTCTAGTTACTTGAGCTAATAAATTCATCTTTATGCTTAAGTCAATTTTGAGTTTCTATCATTTGCAATAGATAGCATCCTGCTAATACAGTGCTTATAAAAAACCAAATTCCCTTATTAATTAGGTGAGCTAAAATCACCTTCTATAGGGCCTGACACATAGGAAGAATTTGGTGGCTAATCATAGCCTTCTCTCCACAATTTTTCTTTGGTTGGATCAAACAGTGTGCACACACAAACACACACACATTATTTTTTTTACAGAGCGGTAGTAATTCAACAATCTGAAACTACAACTAGCAGTTAGGTGACAAGCAATTTTATTTTGCAAAACAATCACTATACAGCAACAAATACATTTGCAAATTTGATTGAAAAACATGAACTAACTACAACCAGCCATTTAAGAAATGCCTTTCTATGGTAACAGGCTCTAGAATTATCAGAAGAAAGAAACCCCCCACAGATTTGTAACAGTGTGTTAGAACCTTGGAATCCCAGCATACAGAGTATACTTTTTGTTGATTTTTTTTTTCTTTTTGCTAAAGTTGAAGTGGGTTTTTATGATTGACATTTTATTTTCTGAGTTTGAAAATAAGTTTTTTCCTGCAGAGGGACTTGGCCTCCACCTACACAACCAGGCTAAAAATCCTGGGTGTAAAAAAACAAACATCAGTGTTGATTTTAGCACATCAATCTTTGAAGGAATGCCTAGAATTTGCTTTCCCAAGCCAAGAATCTACTTTATTTTTGCTACTTAGACCATGAATAGTTTATTTCCCTTTTTGTGGCATGAAAAATAGGAAAAAAAAACTATAATTGCAGCTATGTCTGAATCAACCACATTCAGATTATTTCTTTAATATAACACTGGCTTGATGTTATATTTTTGTCTGATTATCCCATGCTTGCTGTATTACTGTATGTGTGTGTGGAGAAGGCCAGCTATAATCAGTACCTTCTTCCATTTAATGGCATTCTCTCTTCAGTTTTTTTTCCACCATACCTAGCTGGTGTTACACAGGTGTCATCCTTGTAGGTGGGACTTCAGCCCATCACCCTGCTGGAACTCAGCAGGTGAATCCAGAGAGAGTTGGTTCCTAAATGAACGTGGCCTTTGAAACTCATCATGAACTTAGGTCTTTCCTGCATCATTGTAAGGTATCCAATTTTTGGTTGCAGGCGACTCAGAGAGTGAGTTCACTGGAGAAGTTGGCCTTTTAACTCTTCAGAACTCTGGATTACTTATGTATTCTTAAACAGGTTCTCAAAGGCTAAAGCCAGAGAGAAACTGGCGAAAGTGGATCTAGAATTGAGACCATGAAGATTTCATTTCTAGATCAGCGTATGTGTGTCCCCACAAGAGTGGTGTTCAAAAAGCTTAATTTGAGTCGTTATCTTGAGAGTGAAGTTAAGATGGGTTCCACCCCTTATCCCCACAAGAAGACATTTAGCCTGTGTGTTTCTCTCTTTTACTGGTATAAATTATCAGTTCCTTTTTGTTATTTTTATAAAGAATTACATTTCCATACAAAGCAAGAACATTTATTCATTATAACTTTGTTGTGATTCGAAACTAACATTTGTTTTAATGCCGAATCTAACAATTTAGTGCCTTATATAATCTTTATTTTGAACATGTATTTGTAAGAAACTGAATTTTAATATGTAGAGCATATTTACTTAGTTTTAACTTTGATAAAAAATTTGAACAAGGTTGAAAAAAATACTTGTTTCACAGGTTAAAACTTTTCTAACCAGCTGTTAACTTCTTTCTAGAGAACTTTAATCACTATCTAGCACGATCAAAACATGTTAGCAAATACCATAAGTCTCCACACAACCATTCCTTCTTCTCTTTTCTGGTGCATTTCAAGGGAAATGGATGAATAAATTGCCCAGATTGGTCCAATCAAACCTCACAGCAGTTACTAGGCAGAAAATAGACACATCCATGGTCGTACTCAGTAGTTTCTAAGTTTTTGACTGTTGCATAAAATAACTAATTTATAAGTGGTTTAAGACATGTTTGCCTGTGTAAAATCTCTTAGCTGAGAATGAGTGGTGTGGGTTTGCTCCTGGGGTTTCTCTTGTGGCAATTACATGGTTGCCATATCCACTGGGTCACAGAATGGTGTATCCCTTGGCTTTTTGTCTTAGATGCTCCTGTACTTCCTTGTTGCTCAGTCCATGCTCATCATTTCCACCTTTATATTCAGGAATTGATTTGGCTCACGGAGATCAAACACCTAGCAGACCATTGGTCTTTAATTGTTCAGATCTAGCCTACCAGCCCTGAGCAAGAAAAAGAACAGATAAAATACTAAAAAGTGTCCCTCCAGCCTGGTAATTTTTTGCCCTATTCAGGCCATTGACTATTTCATTGCTTATCTGTAAGTCTAAGATGAATGATTTGTGAGACGAGTTAATTGCCTTGTGATTTTAAAACTGTATATAAAGTCAGAACAGTATTATCTGCTGATAAATAATACTAAGTCACACTGTGTTCCTTTACAGAGTGCAATTTTGGAGTCCTGGAAAAAACTGATTTAGGTATCTGTGTCTCAAATGTTTTATAGCTATATCTTCTCAAAATATTGTATTTTTTCTTTTTGTTCAAGGGATCTTTAGTTTGAGTAAGGAAGCCAAATATCTTATATCAGAGAATTTAGTAAATAGATACCATATGGAAAAATGAGAAAACATATTCCAAACTACTACTGTTAGTTTCAACTTTAGCAAATGGAAAAAAATTTTAAAAAAGGAAAAAAATTCTTAAGTCAGTGTCATGAATAATTATAGGAAGAAAACCCAAACTATTCTGTGATTAACAATGAGATAAATTCATAATCTTGAACCAACAATCTGTAAACCCTTTCATGTATAACTGGACCCACCCCCACAAACTCCATGTTGGTGAAAGCAGAGAAAAATAATTCTTTCTAGCATTACGGGAGAGACTTGTATCTGGCACTAAAACAGGGTTACAGCTTTGAGTTGTTATAGAAAGCAACTTCATGCTAAAATTTTTTGTCTTTTTTAATATTTTTTTCTTTTTAAATAGGGAGAGAACCCTGCTAACATCTACTTTCACATACCTAAAATTGCAACACCAAAGGGTGCAGGAGACACAGATACTGTGAATAAAGAAGTATAATATTCAAGTATATGAGGAAGTATCACAAATGGCCACAGAGAAATATATATATATTTATATCTATAATACTGTATCAAACAGATGGAAAGGGGGTGTGAAACTGGTAGTATGGACACGAATCTAGCCAATCAACTGACATTCTAATCAGACACTAGTCCACCCTAATGAAAGTGCATCATTCCTAAGAGATGCACTTTTACGCCACTTCCTCAACCAGAGCTCGAATGCTTTGCAACTATTTTTCAATTAGTTAAATAATTTATTGGATTGACATACTCTGATATAATTATCCAGGTCCCAAATGTTAATAACTTAATTGAATCTTTCTTCCCATTTATACAAAATAACACTTAAAAAAACCTTATTTCTTACATGTTCTTCCCTTCCTGCAATCAGACTCCTTGATTTAATTTAACCTGTAATAAGTTACAATGGGCAGTTTTTATTGTCTCACTCAGAAACAGAATAGTGAAATGAGCAGCTTGGATTTTAACAAGGCCTTTCGGAATGTGGTGGATAGCCTTCAGGCACATGAAAGGTAAAAATGCAATTTTTAAAGTAATAATACTCCATGCAAAACAGAGCAGAGCAAAAATAATTGTCCAATTGTACCCATGTAAAGCCAGTGTCTTCCTGTTGCAGATGGAAATCAGGTCAATTTCTGCATATGCTATTCGTTGTTTAAATATAAAATTGTAACAATTACTACAGTTTGGGGATGAGATTATTTATTTTATGGTTTTTAAAGAATGAATGTAACACCTGCTCAGAGCCCACTCCTGCCAAGAGCTCATGCCTAAATATTATTACTTCAATGCTAAATGAGAAATATTCACAAGCCCTGCTTAGCAAGTGCAGCAGTGACATCCTCAGCCAAAGTGGCAAGCTGAGGAGATTCAAGCAGGTTGATGCTTCCAGAAGAGGAGACGTTGCTGAGTCGTCGGGGCGATGCCACGCTGGATCTGCCTGGGGACTGCGTAATGATCTCAGCCCCATGGTCCACGCGGGCCTTGGCATGCTCTCTGAAGTTCAACTTTTGGCTGTCAATCTGTTTAAGACAAGCATCAGTCCTTGTTAACTCAAGCATCTTAACTAGCCCCTAGCTCTTTCTTTATGTCCCAGATTTGATATCAAAGTGACTTCTATTCAACTCTGTCATCCCCACTTCCTATTTGTCCAGGTTTTCAGTCTGGGACCTATTTTGGTAAAGAGTATTTCAGAAGAATTAAACAAAAAAAGACAAGATTTGCCTATGACCTTGTTTCTTACCTTGACATTACCACCTCCAGGTACATGGTGAGCATTATCAAGTGAACCAACTTTAGCTTGGGCCTTTTCTTTGAAATCCAGTTTTACACTCTCAATTTTCACACGTCCACCACCTATGAAAGGAGAAAGGCTTTTAAATGCCTTGCTAAAATTGTATCTTGTATTTAAGGTGACTATTTCCCAAACATGATTACAGTAGATATACCATTGCAAACCTCTACTATACCTCCAACCATAAATGTAAAAGGAATCGTTTAGAATTTCTAGTCCATACCATTTTCCCATACTATCCAAGATCATGACATCCTTCTTATACCACTATACGGAGTGCTTCACATATTAATATCTTTCTTCTTACCCATGTCTAAGCTAAGAAATCAGAGGGGATTTTCTTTTTGGTATAGTGAAAACTCCAAAAAAAAAAAAAATGACAAAATGAAAATATTCTACTTGCATCCTTTTTAAAACTTGGAGCATTTAGTCTCTGATTTTTAAGGAAGCAAATTAAATTGAAATGAAACTCTTCTTTATTCTTCTTCATGGTAATGGGTCACTTATCCAAAGAAGTTCTAGGCTGAAAATGGAGCACATATGGGTAATATATTCATTTGTAAATTTTCAACATCGATAGATAACTTCACTGATGAAAGGAGTCAGGAGCTAAGTTGTTTATAACTAGTAAGCTTTAAGAGCTTTCCATTTTAATTAGTATAAGAAGTGACAGGAGATCTCTTTCTTGCACAAATGCCATAGAGCCAATTTGACACTGACCTTGATCTGATAATACTGAGATAGTTTGGGCCATGCCATTTCCCCTATTGCTAACTAGTCTGAAATGCTATGATCTGCTGATAGTCAGGGGGTGTGTTCCACCCTTCAGTGTGGTCTTCCCCAAGCTCTGCATGTCATAGACTTTCAAATGTAGGGGGTTCTTCTATACTGGGTAGATATTTGTTGTCCTTTAGCCTGTCCTTGACCACCTCTCAGTGCTGATGTTTTTGACCTGGGAAAGAAGCTGGATTAGGCTCTTCATTTACCGACTTCCACCTAAAAGATTTGCTTTCACCTTCATCAGAAACTTGATTTTCACCACATGCATCTTCTGGAAAGCTAGTGTTTGGCAATGTGACCCTCTACTATCATTGCATCTTACTTGGGATTTTGATTTGAAAAAATATCTGAGGGGCTCTATGGAAACATGAAAAAGATTTTTCAATTTTGGATTCTTGTTGCTCATGTATTCCTGTAGACCAAAGAAGGAAGTCTGTTAAGGCTTCAGAGGTCTCTTAAACCTTGTGGTGTTTTTTTCTTGCAATATCTGCATGTCCATGCTAATACTCAACTGCCTGGCCAGGGGCTTCTTGAAATTATATGGTATTAATAGATTACATTTTGGAGAAATGTCCATTTATTCTTTTCCTGAAGGCTTAGGAAATGTTATTTAACTCATGCTTCTAGAACACATGTAGTTATTCTTCCCTCAAAATATGCTTCATTTCATGCAGTATTATTCTTCTCATATTTTACCTGGCTACACAGTTCTCACTTGTTGGTTGCAATGAGATTAGCATGATTTATAATGATTCATAAGAACATATTTATCTTGGTTAGAGGCTACAGGATATTGGACTTTTAACTAGATGAGATCAACTTCTTTGGGATCTTATTTTTGTATTTTTTGGTAGCCTCTGATGGAAATCACTTTTGTAAGCTTTCTTTTCTGATTATATGCTAGGTCAATATAATCTTGTTAAAATTTTGCTGAACTCTCTTCTGAGGGGCAGAAAATAGGGTTGGGTATGCTTGTAGCTCCAACTCGGGCAGTACAAAGGCAATATATGTAACCAAAGCATTTGTACCCCTGTAATATTCTGAAATAAAACAAACGTAATATTGACCCGGAATATATTCAGAAAAGGAAGCTTGAGAAGTCTATTTCTGCTGAGGTCTCACTAGAAATTCTTATGCAACTGTTAGAGAAGCCCATTTGAATTCAGAGATCTATGTCTTTGGTTTTGGAGAATTCTGGCACCCACCAGGAACAGTAATTGTGAAAGACTATAATCTTTAACAAGCTTTATAAGTGAAGTTGAGAAGATATTTCAACTTGTGCCTCCAGGTACTGAATTATTTTCTCCTTAAGTATTCCACATTCCAAAGTCACTGTAAAAAGCTTGTTCTTGTCAAGGATCATCATGCTAACACTTCTCTATGAAGTTAGTCATTTGATTCAGTTATCATAGCAAAAGCTAGACTTAGAAATAGGTAGGAGTCCATGATAATAGTCTTTTATGACCAGTAAATCATACACAGAATATATCCTTATCTATATAAGATTTTTTCTGTGCATCCAGACCCTGGGTGAATTTGACCAACTGTATCCTTATTGTCTGGAATTAAATGTCTACTATTTTTCTTTTATATTCTGCAAGAAGATAGGCAGCATGGCCAAATATGTCAGCCATGTTGTTGACACAGCAGTACAAAGTCAATTAAGTGTTTGTAGGCTTCAGCTATAGATAGGAGAATTGTGAAGATGAGCAGTATGGGACCATGTCCCTGCTGCATCATGAATGATAGAGAAACTAATTCCATGGCAGCAGTTCTGAAACTGGTAATGAAGATTCCATATATGGAGTTTCTAACTGTTTGACTTGCTTTATGAATACCTTTTGACAAAATTAATTCTGATTTCTAGACATTTTCAAAGCATTTAACCATTTTGAAACTTATCTTACCTATCTTTGTTTTTCAACCAATAAATTCTTAATAATTATCTCCTGGCCAGAAATCTTATTCTACTTAATTTTTCTTACATCTTGTTTCTGTTCACATTTGAGACAATGATTAATGGAAATACCTATTACCTGGTTTATATGTGCAGATAGCAAACATAGATGGCTAAAACCAATTGCTTTCCTTTTGTCTTTCTGTAATTTAGTGAGATTTATGAATTACGTCAAAATATTTTCAAGAAAATTACAACTTTGACAGATATCCATTATTACATATCTATGGAGGTAGAATTTCACAAAAATATATGAAGCATGACACCCAGAAAAAAATGACTCATGTATGTTAGATTGACACTTTAAAGGGGGAAAAAACCCACAGCAAATATGAATATAAATTCTACTTTAGAGCATTAGTCCTATGAGATATTCTGAGGAAACAAAAAGAGTCCATGGTCAAGTAAGTTGGGGAAACATTGCATTCTGCTGGGGATTTACAATGCTTATTGACCTAATAAAGAATCTGAGAAATCCATCAGCTAAATAAATTTCTTCAGTTTTGCAAAGCACAATCCTTATTTTACATAATATAGAAAAACAAGTTTATGAAAAATAAACTTTGGGAATGCTGCTTTCAGTTGGAGTTATTATGTACGAATATATGATCCAATGTATTTGACAGACTACATATTTCAAAAGATCTCCAATAAGTATGTTGAGTACACAAAGATAAATGCATCTTATGTACCTTTAAACTTTAACCTGTTCTATAGGTAGCCTATTCATGGTAATTGGGTTCACTTATCCCAAATGAAAATGTCTTGAAATTTCTAACTTCGGTTTATATTAATAAAAACATGAGGTATCAGGATTTTGAAACATCCTTCCAATTAGGAATTTCACAACAACAACTTTGCTGTCAATTTTCTGAATACAATTCAACATTTCTCAAACTTGTAAAAATTATTTATTTACCTGGCCTGTGGCGGATATTCTTCAGAGAGCCACATTTGGATGTCACATGGCTTAGGTCTATTTTCTTGGTAACAATTTGGACCTATGTGAACCACATAAAACATGCTTAAAATATAAACATGGACAAAAGCCCAAGCTCACACATAAAATCTAGAAATATATCCAAACTCACAACATGCAACACCATATCCAGTAACCCAAATTGAAGTACACACACACACACACACACACAGGAAAACAAAATTCCCCATATGTTCTTCCACATGTTTGGAGGGGAAAGAAGGACCCAAGTGAAAGGAAATCCTGGAACAGAAGAGTTTATTAGTAGAAAGCAGATCATGCCACAAGAGGATAGAAACACTTGTATTAATAAGGCAAGCTTCCACTCAGAGAACTAAGCCACATCGTATTAAACCTTACAATAAGCAAAGAGCTAAGAAATGAGTTATTCTTTATAAAGTGATTTTTAAATGAAAGTGACCAATGTTGTTCATAGTTACCACAAGACCAACATTGCTTTAAGATACAAGAAGAAAGTTCTAGATGTACTTTCCTAAACTGTTATTAAATTGTCATATCTTGGCTAGATGAAATTTTTTTTGCACACCAAATTATAAAATGACAGCAACATTTTTTTCTTCTTTGTGTTTTATTGAAAATTTTTCCTCTCTCCGGATTCGAAGCAGTCTTCTCCAAGTGTGATTCATTGTCATCTGCATCAGAGTACACAGGAATTACTGAATCAGACATCGTGGGGATGGGGCCAGTGTATCTGCATATTTAAGCAAGTGATTCTTTTCTAGAGGAAAGTTTAAGACTATTATTTAGGGGCTTGGAAGCTCCCCTAAGGGGATCTTTAAGATCTTTAGCTATCCTAGTCTGTCCCTTTCCACTTAGGTGTTTTGACCAGCAGCACCTGCATTAGAGGACAGCAGGATCCAGCCTCTGATACTCTCAAGGTGATTACCAGGGCTGGATTGCTTCTGTGATAGTACCATGTGCTGTGCACTTACAGTCAGGGAAACAGGAAGGAGCTGTAACCATGTCAGTATGAAGACTGACCCTGAGGTTTAGCTCAGCATCCTTGAAGCAGCCCAGCAAATATCGCTTTGGACTTCCCATGACAGTGATTAGCTTTATGTTCAGTGAAGCTATTTTGATTATCAGGTGACAGGTCCTTGTAGAAAGCACTTACTTCTCTCTGTCTTCACTGCTTGACTCCATTTCTGCCCAGTTGAGGAGAAAGTAGCCACAAATTATTAATAGTAGACAGGTGAGGATTGTTAGTTCGATAATCCTGTATGTAACTTGAGTCACAGATTATCAGATCTTGTTTAGGTAACAGGATCTGTAGAACAGAGTCAGCCTGATTCATTTTTTAAAAGTTATTCTTATTTTATGAAGAACCATACTTCCTTTAGCTTGAGTTTGCCTGACCATTTCAATTCTGCCTCAATCACACTTAAGAAACATGGATTCATCTTTCCCTTCCTCTCAGAGGGTATTATTTACACTAAATGAAAGAGACAGGAAAAAAATTCCATCGAGATAAAGTGTATACTGGGACTTGAATCCTTTCACTTTGAATTATAGATGAATCATGCTTCACCAGTTCTGTGTTATTCTAAATGATATCCCAACTTTCATGAATAATGAACCACTGAAGATTGATAACATGCACTTCGGGTACTTAGAAGTATATCGGTTTTTGCCTCAAGGGTAATCTAAATGGAACTAGAAGTGTGTGTCCAGCTGACTTTTGCTGGGGAGTAGAGACAGTGTGAGGAAATACCTTGAAGACAAAGAGGACAGCAAACAAAGTTGGCAAGTGACGTGGATTTGCCATACCCCAGAAAACCATGGTGCATCTCATGGTTTTCTTTCCCAACTGAAAGTGAGAAATTTGCTAATGATCTACAGGGAGCGATGGGGAGCCCATCACTGAAAATGCAAGGCTGACACGCCATTGCACCAGGGGGACGAGTGGAACAGCAGCAAGAGGGAGAAGCGTGTTGGGAAGGAGGCAGGGAAGGAGACAGGGTGCCGGCTGTGCAGGTGACTCCACACAATCAGGACAGCTTTCTAGTAGAAGCTTCTACTTACATTTCCGCCCCCTGCAGAATGTTTGATGTTATCCTTGGAACCACATCTGGACTGAACTTTGCTAAAATCGATCTTCTTGTTTAAAATCCTAACCTAAAAGGAATGGGAGGTAACTTCACTATGCATTTTTCTTTCAAGATGCTGGGTATAGGGAACGAGAATGGGTAGCATCAGACTCCCTTCTACCTACATATTCATTTAAGAGAAAAACTAATACTGGAACTGAAGAGCAGTTCTACCATGTAAACATGAGCCCCCAGTCCTCTGCTCTCTCAAGGGCCAAATGCTAGAAAGCCTTAAGTATCCCAGCTGTACCTAGGTGCAATCAGAAAACAATTGGAGGGATTGAAAAATAAAAGTTGAATCATCTGTGCTAGGGAGGCTGCCAAGGCTGCAGGCAACTCTGGGACTCAGGTCCACTCTATGTAAGGTTCAATAGTAGTTACTACTAAATCTTGCTTAGCAGAGGATCTTAAAGGATATTCCAGCCACCCTCAAACCCCTACAGTGTCATCGCAATTATTAGTCACCTTGTACACTTCGCTGTTCTATTGGTCTACATTGCACAAGTGAGGTGCACAAATGGTCTGGCTGAATGCTGTAGGTCACAGTTCTCATTTATTTAGGGGAAGAACTCCTGGTTTCCCAGGAGGGTCAACAAAGAGACTCTGGGCCTGCTCTGCTAAAAAGGGCTTTACAATTCCCTTGCAGGTTTGACTCAGTGGTCTTCTGAAGGTCCCTTTCTGGCAACCACTCAAGAGCAGCCATTACTCATGGATGATCAGGTGAAAACATTCTTTCCATTTTTAGAGGTAAGAAAACCAAGGTCTACTGGTTAGAGGACTTGTGCTACATCATACAGACATGGTCTAGGCCTTGATTGGGTCCAGTAGATTTAAGGTTAGGTGTTTTATTTCTATTCTCAGGAAGTCAACCATTCATCTTGAAGACAATAGCAAATCCAGATCTGGAAAGACATAACTCTGGTGTAAAATAATGTACAAAGTCATAACTCTTATGAATTCTTTCATGTGTCTTTCGAACCTTGCATGTTTTGGAGGACAAATAAGCAATGTAAGCGTAGAAAGAAAGGTTTATTTTTGTTATTATTGTTATTACTATTTGTTCATTTGTTTTGTCTTACTGTGGCTACTACTACTCTTCCTACCCCCCTGCCTCTGCAATTGCTAAAGAGAAAAATCACATTTTCAGCGCTTTAGGGGACAGTTTATCCTTTTGTTAAAAATCTAAATAAATTTACCCTAGACACATAGCCATCTACAAGAATGTTAACACATCTCTTAGTATTTGCAAGAAAGAATCAAAAATTCAAAAGGACATTGATTTTGACTTTTTAACTAGGCAAAGCTTGGATAATGATGCTTGCCTAACATTGACAAGATAGCTTTTCCCTTGTAGGGAAATACCATTGACAGCTCTCATCAGCAACCCAAGGGAAGGGCCTCTTGTCAAAATTTGAATTCAGAAGACTGAATGATTGGGCTACTCTTTAGGGCATAATAAAGATTCAATTTAATCGGGGTGAGGGATATTACAGAGTCTATATCTAATGATTAGTGTAGTTATACTCTAAGAGTTTCATAGAAACTATACATGTGGATAGTTTTAAACCAATAAAGACTACATTTAAAACCTCATAGATAAATTATTTTCAGAAGGCAAATAATTTTGTCTATAGCTGTACCACCATGAATATGCCCAATCTCATCTGATCTCAGAAGCCAAACAGATTTGGTTAGTTCTTGGGTGGGAGAAAGCAAATAATTTTGATTTATTTTTTGTAATAATACTTTAAAATTATTCTTCATAGATATATAATTGTTTTGGCAAGAACATAGACTTCATGTGAGTCATTTTACTAATCTTTGAGGATATACAAGGTTTCATATTTTATGAATTTTAATTTGGAGATCAGTAGACTATCAATCAAGTGACTCACTGCCAAGTGATCAAAAACCAAACATTAAATCTGATTTGCTTGTTGCAAAAATGGAAATTCCAAATTTAGTTGCATAAATCTGTTTGACCTTAACATTTAATCAACTGTGTGACTATTTTTATGATTTCCAAAACAAATGATTCAATCCTAAAGGGTTCCAATGCCAGCATTTTTAAGAGATGATTTAGAATCTTAAAATCTACAACTTAAAAGCTGATTTCAGTTTTACCCAGGTTATCTAGAAAGTCACGGATTTTCCATTGAAACAAATAGCTGTCCTTTTTTTTTTTTTTTTTGAGACAGAGTCTCGCTCTGTTGCCCGGGCTAGAGTGAGTGCCGTGGCGTCAGCCTAGCTCACAGCAACCTCAAACTCCTGAGCTCAAGTGATCCTCCTGCCTCAGCCTCCCCAGTAGCTGGGACTACAGGCATGCGCCACCATGCCCAGCTAATTTTTTCTATATATTTTAGTTGTCCGGTTAATTTCTTTCTATTTTTAGTAGAGACGGGGGTCTCGCTCTTGCTCAGGCTGGTCTCGAACTCCTGAGCTCAAACGATCCGCCCGCCTCGGCCTCCCAGAGTGCTAGGATTACAGATGTGAGCCACCGCGCCCGGCGAAACAAATAGCTGTCCTTTTTCGATGGTAGACTCTCTCAATCTATGTCTGCTTAACCTATTATGTGAAGCAGACTTACATATCCATTAATAACATCCTTTACATGTTTTCATATTTCAAGAGCTTCATAGTATAATTTGTTTGTCTAAAATGAGGCAAATTATGACAGAATAAATGTAAGCAGCCCCTCCAGACCTTCATTTTCCATCTTGCTTAATGATTGGATAGAGAGAAACAAAACCACTTTGGACAGTGGGCACTTGACGCTTAGTAAGATTGACACTCTAGCTTGACAATTTGCACCCGAGCACCCACATAATCTATGTGATTCACATTTATGCCTTAGCAAAATTGCAAATTACTTCACACCAAAGGTCTCTGAGGTCATTTAAAAATAATTAACACC